GGGAGGAGGAGAGAGAAACAAAAACTGGAACAGAGAGCAGAGAGCCCTAGATAAGACTACGGAGGAAAAAGAACCAAAGCCAAAGGGGTCTAGAAGTCATTTCGATACACCTGATCCATCTGAGCATGTTAAAATAATAACTATTCTATTTTAGTAGTTTACTACATGCCTCTATACTGCACAGCCTCCACCAGTCATTACTATAGTAGGTAAAGTGTGCTGACAAAATGAGTTACTTCTCGGATTCAAATCTTATGGAAATAGAATCTACATACAATACACTTATATGTGAAGTTTTTACAATCTATAAGCATGAAAAAATAAAAGGGATGTTACAGTTAAAGAATATATATGGCATCAACAGGAAATCTAAAAATTTGACCCTAGTGTCGATTGATTTTCAAATCTTCACCAAAAAAAAAAAATCACGAAGTACCATGATATTCTTTTCCATCAATTAAACAAAAGCTAAGGCATTTTCGACGGAAAGGGACACAAAATTTTATCTCCATTTGTGGATTGCAAGAGGTAACTCATGCTGTCAGCACGCCTCACAAATAATATACACCAATGCTTGTTGACCTGGGTGAGATCGCCCACTAAAGTGCGGTCCAAAAATTCACGGCGCAAACATATTGTCAAATATCCCTTTAACAGGAGAATGAATGTCATCCATACTTTTCACATCAGTTTGTAGCGATTTGTCTCAACTTACCCATATTTTCCCACATCAATTGAGGCTAGATTAAAAAATCCAGGTGACAAAAAAATCAATTATGTCTTTTTTCTTTTTCTTTTTTCTCTTGTGAATATTTCCCCTTCAGCCTGATGTTTCACCCACGCACCAAAATTCCGTCCTATAAAACTCCATATTCTGTGTTCAATTTTTTTTCTTTAATGTAGGGTGTTTTTTAAACGCCTATCTATACAATTTAGATCATTTAAGAGGTGGGCTTCTGACCCTGTCTGTTAGGGCCAACCTGGGCTGAGAGGGATACAACATTCCACCAGAAAGACTGAGATACTCAATAGAAAGTTGTCTCCCCACTCAGGAATTGAACTTGGCTCTCCTGTATGTGACAGTGAAGTGCCTAACCGCTACACCAGTCAATTTGAAAAGCATGAGCACAAATTATGTCACCATACAACGGCAGTACTGTAAAAACCGTATGTACACAGTAACTTGTGAAAACCGTATACATGAAATGAGACACCAAACATGCGATACCAGATGGTGCAAACAATGTTCCCAGAAACAATATCGTTGAAAGAGGAAAACATAAAAGCAGAAACAGAATACAAGGAGGAACAGCTAGCAGTGGTGAGGCAATAGTACGATCTTTTCCCTGTGATGAATGGATACACACACAAACGATACATCAGTGTTACACTGGATATATACCACATACATATATATATATATATATACAAGAAGTAGATGATCAAGACTGATTGACTTACAAATCCACGTTTGTTGTCCTAGGTTTAAAATAGAACAACGGAAGAAAAAAAGTTCAGAATACTTGACTAATGGCGGAAAATTTCACGAAAAAGGACTTACTAGGACATTCAATACTGTCAGTTATTATTCACAATGACAAAGTTTGGGAGAAAATAATTCACAGTGGAAGAAATAAAAGTCAAATCTTCACACACAAAAAATCACGAAGTACCATTGTATATTCTTTTCCAGCAATTAAACAAAAGCTCAGGCATTTTCAACGTAAAGAGACACAAAATTAATAACATGCCCTTTTATGACTCGCAGTAAAAAAAAAAAGCAGTTCCAAATTGCCGTTCCTTCTTAACTCATGCAACACGAATTTCTTCACGTCTAAAATAACCCCTAAAATGTACAGTTTTGGCACGCAATAGTTGTCATGACTAAGGTAACCGCTTTGACTCTATTAATTTCTCATCTGATGTTTAGCAGCCAAAGTTTTATTTCTTTGAAACCAGTACAGTGTTAAAGAGACCAGTCTTGAAGCATAAAATAAAAAAAAGCAGAGAAAAAGGAGAAGGGCTATTTTTGTTGTTCAAAACATAGAGGCAGAAACTAAAGTAAATCTCTAAAGTATCCTTGATGAAAGAAAAAGCCAAAAGCTAAGAAGCCGATTACAACCAAAGAGATTGTATGATGAGACTGAAAATTTGTAAAAAGCAGGAGTAGGCTACCTTTTACAAAAAAAGGTACTGTATTTCTCCAAATGAAAAAGAAGTTGACTGATTTTTTTTACACAAAACAGCTGAACCATTCTTTTCACAAAGTTGCTAAAACATCTTTCGCACAACGTAGCTGAAAATTCTATTAGAAATGAGCAGCAGTAGCATTATCTACACAAAGACTAGCTGTTTTGTTTCGTAGAAATAAAAACTTGTACTAAGCCATCCTATAATGCTTTACATCAAAACAACTGAGTGAACTTTTAGTTTCACCGTAAGAAGCAGTATACAGATCAATCCGAGAAATGTTGTACTTTCATTTATACTAAATATGAGTAGCTGACCTATCACTTTTTTAAATACAAAAGTAAAGCAGTTCATTCTCTCTCTCTCTCTCTCTCTCTCTCTCTCTCTCTCTCTCTCTCTCTCTCTCTCTCTCTCTCTCTCTCTCTATCTCTCTCTCAAGAGTGACTATATATCGTACGTGACACAAGACTAGCCCTACTGTCTTGTCCACACCAACAAAGATACAATTTCCAGCTACCTACGTCTACATCCACAAAAGCCGATCAGAAAAAAAGACTTAAACAAAATAGAAAAGGAATTTTGATAATGCTGCAACAATTAAGGTATGTAAGTAATGTGAGAGTAGAGGGGAAGAGAGTTCTTACAAAAACATGGCTTTTAATAATACCTACGTCACACAGGGGCTATAATAAACACAAAATTAGAAAAACAAAAGATAAAAGAATTAAAAGAATGTTTTTGTAAAAGCTGGAAGGCGCATTGCAAAAGTTTAAGCCGATGCACATGAGAAAGTTTCCTAGCGGGTATTTTCAACCTTTAAAGAAAAAAAAAACCAAGAGAGAAGGAAGGAAATCTATTTTGTCCGAAACACCTGCGCTTATTGTGATGATGTCATCAAGTACTCACTTTTCGTTCGGCAGCTTCAGCTCGCGCCAAAATGGCCTTTGACGAAGCTTCGTAAGTGGCTTCTTTCTGCACCAGGTTTGTCTCCACCTGTCGCAGAGCGCTCTTTTTCTGTCACGATTAGAAAATGAGCAAAAATCACAAATGAAAGATTCTCACACACATTGTGAGACCACATGATGAAAATGCAATACTTTACTACTTTTACTTTTTCATCCTCTGTTGCCCCGTTAAGCTTGGGACGTGGACAGTATTCATTTTTCACTTGTTGTAAAAGGCAGTCGTCAAAATCCTCTTTTGGATTATATAATCACTATTATTTCACTATGTGGGAGAAAACTCGTGGGGCGAGCGGACAGCAGGAGATGTTCAGAAGAAGAACCCCCCCCCCTCCCCCTCAAGCAAGTGTTTCGGCCCTAACTTCCTGACACTCCCATGGGGGCCGGGTCACACTCAAGTCATGACTCATGGGAGTTCTCCTGCTGTTTCTGTTTGTTTATTTTCTGTTTTCTTTGCGCTGATCGAAGGACGAACCCTCGAGGTTTTGGGGTATTTTCGGGTCTTTGCTACTGTGTATGACAAATCACTTTATCAAAAGGTCAAAGCACTTAACTTAAACCCCCATTGACACAATTTTGATCATTTAGGTGGTGGGTTTCCAATCCTGCTTGTCGGTGCCAAGCTAGGCCGAGAAGGATAGTGCATCCAAGCACTAAAACCAAGATACTTGATAAAAATTCTCCACTTGAGAATTAGTCGCTTTAAAGGACAAGTGGGCTAGCCCAGATTTTGGGGGTTTCCAGAAATCTTGACCTATACCAAAAGTGGGCATTGCCCTACCTATAGGACAAGTTTGGTTTCATTGGTGTGTATAGTTGTTTGGTTATAGAGAAAACTCTCCTTGTCTTTTAAAGAAACTGAATACGGGGCAAAAAACTTTACCTTCGATTTTCTCAAAACAGCATTTTTCGGGATAGCCCCCTTGTGCTTAAAAGCGACCAATTGAGCTCAGGTCTCCTGTGTGTCACAGCAAAGCACCTCACAGCTACACCACAGACGCTAGTTCGATGAGTGGAAAAATATCTACATTATGAAATTTAACACTTTGCAGTCCCACAGCCAGAAGTACAAAATACCCCATCTGGTCACCCAGCCAGGAGAGTGACGGCTACGGACTTCTCCGACCTGGCACAGAAGTGCGTCAGGTGACCAGAATGGATAATTTTCACTGGCATATTATTGCGCGCATTATTGCGCCAAATGACCATAAGTGTAAAACCAAAAACTACAGCCAGCCTACCAGGTTAAGTTCTTGCTCCGCTGTGCGATGATTCGATTCCAGCTCTGCGTTCTTCTCCATCAGACTCCTCACTTGGCTCCAGACCTGAGGACAGACCAACAACGTTAACTCTTTCACTCCCACGAGCCGTACGTGTTTCACGGCTCATGTTACCCCCAACACTGGACTGCAAGCCATGTTGCACGACTTTCAGCCACACCTCTGATCTTTTATTATTTAGTAAGAGTTTTACGGTACTTGCAACATAATAAGGTCATACAAGTGCCGAAGATTAGACGCGTTGCAAGAGAGTAACAAACATAAAAAAGAAGGAGGAGAGATAAGGACCGTAGATGTTTGATAGGAGAGAAGGAGCAAACCACACCAGAGCACCCATCACCCCTGATCTTATGCTAGGTAAGATCTAGACCTAGCCTTCTCGGATAAGGGTGAAAAATCTTGGAGGAACCGTGTGCAAGTCGCGCACATTAAAGATCCCCTGGTGTTTCTAAATTGACAGGAGTAGGCTTCGGCCGCCACCTGGGCAAAATTCAAAATTTCCTACCAACTGAAAATATTTTATGTGTCCCGCGCGCTCATATGACCTAATGCAGTTGCTAGTGTCTTAAAACACTTATTTACAAAAAAGGAACAAAAAACAAAAAAAAAAAAAACCCCAAGGCCACAGATTGAGTCACCTTTGTCATCTCGTTGTCGATGACGCTGTTTCTGTTCTCCAGGTCCAGCCGCTGTTTGCTCTCTGACTGCAGGTGACTTTCCAGTCGCTCGTTGTTTGACTTGACTCGGGACATTTCTGACTTTATCTGAGACAACTCCTGGTGATACACAAAAATGTTGACAGATATAATATTATGGATAGATTAAAACTAAATGTTTGTCCATAAATGTTATTAAAATGTTCTTTAACCCTATCCGTACGCCCTGGGGTCATTTTGTACCCCCGGGGTTGTATTCTTCACATTTTAGAATACTTCTAGTACGAAGATCTCTTTGAAACTTTCAGTATTTCTCAAAAAAGATTTTTGACAGACTGCTATGCAAAGGGTATGGATCGAATTAACGAGTAAATTTTCTCTTTGAAAGTGGTGGCACAGAGTTCCCCACGTCGTATGGATACGATAGTAAAACACAAAGTATGGATAGAGTTAATATACTGATTGATTAAACAATGTTGGTGCGTAAACGATATTTAAAAAGGCACATTCTCCTTTCTTACCTCTCTCAGTCTCTCTCTCTCTCTCCCTCCCTCTCTTA